CTTCCAATCTATGAGAAACATTAATCCCCAAATTTTTAATATTACCTGACTGCAGTCGTGTATTAAGAGAACTGTTAAAAACAGTTTATTGGAAGAACTGTAGATTTTAACCAGTTTATGGAGTAGTCAGAAATTCTTGAAAAGGAATTTATTAAATCAATAACCTGAGATAGAGAGCTCTCTGAAGATTGAAGAAAAAGTAGGACATCATTAGCATAAAGACTAATTTTATGTTCTATGTTCTTACATTGTATGCCTTTAATATCTGCAGTTTGCCTGATTGCAGCTGCTAGAGGTTCAATGAAAATAGCAAACAGTGAGGGGGACAGTGGACATCCCAGCCTGGTGCCTCTCTGAAGAAAAAATCTAGAAGAAATTAAGTTATTTGTCCTAACACATGCTGTTGGTAAGCTATATAAGATTTTTAACCAGTTCATAAAATAATTTCCAAAACCAAATTTACGCAGGGTTGCAAATAAGAATTTCCAGTTTACTCTATCAAATGCTTTTTCTGCATCTAAAGACAGAATAGCCATTCCAATGTTTTTACTGTGAGAATAATCTAATAATTAAATAATCTGCGTGAATTTGTAGATGAGTGCCTTCCTTTTATAAAACCTGTTTGGTCAGGATGAATTATGAATCTTTTGGAGAGGGCCTTACAGATTATTTTAAGATCAACATTAATAAGGGAAATAGGACGATAACTGGTAGAGGATACAGGATCTTTGCCCGGTTTTAACAGAAGACTAATGTTGGCTGAATTCATGTGTACTGGAAGTCTGCCATGTTCCTCTGACTCCTGCAGCWTTCTGTGAAATACAGGTGATAAGATATTCCAGAAGTTTTTATAGAACTCTGCTGGAAAACCATCTGGTCCAGGAGCTTTTTTATCAGGCATGTATTTTAATGCTTCACAGAGTTCAGCTGATGTCAATGGAGAGTCTAGTTCTGATGACTGACTACTGGATAGTTTTGGAAGTATTACTTTTTCCAAAAAACAGTCAATATCCTCATCTGATGGATTTATTTGTGAGGTGTATAGATTTTTATAAAATTGCATAAAAATACTATTTACTTCTTCCCGATCGTAAGTTGTATTCCCAGTTATGTCTTTAACACCAGATATAGTTGATTTTTCTGTATTTATTTTAAGTTGGTTAGCTAAGAAGCTTCTTGATTTATTGTTATGTTCAAAATTTTCTAAATGAAGTCTTTGTAACAAGAATTTATTTTTTTTGTCGATAATTTCATTCAATTCTAGTTTTGACTTCTGTATTTTTTGCTCTATCCCTTCTCCTTGCAGAGCTTCTAACAATTTAATGGATTCCTCTAAATCCTGAATACGTTTATTTTCAGATTTCTTCTTATTTGTTGAGAATGATATTATTTTGCCTCTCATAACTGTTTTCCCTGCCTCCCAAAGAGTAGATGCTGATGTACCTGGTAAATCATTTTACTCTAAAAATGATGACCATTCTTTTTTAAAGTATCGTATAAACTGTTCATCTTCAAGCAGTGATGTATTTAATCTCCAGTTTATATTTTTTGGTATTTCTTTCCTATTAACTAGAGTTAAAGAAACTGGTGCGTGATCACTAACAGCAATAGGATTAATTTCACTGTTTGAAATGTTGGTTGGTAATGAAATATTGACTAAGAAATAATCTAGATGAGAGAAAGAGTGATGAACGTGTGAGAAGAAGGTATATTCCTTGCTGTTAGGGTGAAGAGAATGCCATGCATCGCAAAGTCCATAATCACTCATGTACTGTTTAACAGTATTTATCGACTGCCAACTGTGCTGAGTTCCTTCTGCATTCAGCCTGTCTATTTTTTCATCTAGTCCAAAGCTGAGGTCACCTCCTAGAAGCAGTGAGCAGTCGAGGTGATTTGATAGTTCAGAAAAGAAACCATGAAAAAATGAGGCGTCATCAACATTTGGACCGTACTAGCAATGCAAAGTTTTTGATCAAGTATAGATAATTTAATTATAATTTATCTACCCTCTGGGTCTATAACCGTGTCTAGTACTGTGAAGTTAATATTTTTATGTATTAATATTGCTACCCCCCTTTGTCTTGACTTATAGCAGGCTGAGAATACATTAGGGAACTCAGAAGATTTAAGATCATTCACAGATGAAGCTAATTTATGAATCTCTTGTAATAAGACATCTGTCTTGTCTTTTAAGCTGACTAAAGATTCTGTACATTTTCCTCTGGGTACTGGCCCCGTTCACATTCCACGTGGTAAATCTTAATGTGCCCATCCTTGTATTTGTAAAAGCAAAGTTAAACAGCACCCTTTAACACAGAAACYAAAAGACCCAGGAAATATAATCTGTGATTACTGAATATTTGAAATTTTAAATATACTGTATATTGTCTCCTTAAGAAGTATGTGTACACCTGATGCATGGGTGTGTATGGGCCCGTGTGCAAACCATTGTTGCAATGTACAGAGAAAGAGAAGAAAGGAATAAAGTGATGTAGCGATGGACAAATAAAAAGAAGAAAGAAAAATAAAAACAAAAAAGAAACCCCTCTTCCTCAAGAAAAGTGCCAATACACCGTGCTCCACCAGATGTGTAACACACCAACCGAGCTGTGCTTTTACATATAATTATAACTGGTAAATAAGATTAATAATAATTGAAAATTTCATCAACCTTGATGTATTTAATACAGCCATGGAGTGAATGCTGGGTCTCTGAAAAGCTGACCATTAACATACAGTTTATCTACATTTAACGTAGCTCTCCTGCCCTCTCTGATGTTTTTCTTTCTAATAGGGAACAAACAGTACGCACCTCCTATCCAAGATTTGTTTTGGAAATTGGTCATTTACACTGAGGTCCGTTCCTTGCAGCTCCCTGCCTCGACTTTTAACCTGCTCTTTCTGTTTATACTGCTCAAATTTGGCAATAATTGGCCGAGGGTGTTTGCTGTCAGGTTTCTTACCTCCAAGCCGATGAACCCGGTGGAACATGATTTTATCCTCTATGTCACTCGATAGCTTCAGTTTATGCTGGATGAAATGACGAACTGAGGCCTCTGCATCTTCCCCTGCCTGCTCAGGAATACCGGAAAAAACAAGGTTGTCCCGCATGCTCCGAGCTTGGATATCCAGAATGGATTCCTTCATTTTTTTATTATCTCCAGACATCAGCGTCATACTCTCGGTGAATTGCTTCACGGTTTCCCTCAGCTGATGGTTTTCTGAAGCAAGCGACTCTACCTGTTTCTGACTAAACTCTAGCGAAAGCTTCAGGCTCTGGAACTCCTTATGGAGGACCTCGACCAAGGCGAGTCTGCCATCCAGGCTAGTTAGCCTCAGGTCTATAGACTCCAGAATTCCGGTGATGCTTTTATCCGGAGTTGTTGTTGAGGAGTTCGCCGAGCACTCCGAGTGGGTACGCTTCTTCGGTGTAGACGCGGAAGTAGCAGAAGTTTGTTTTGATCTACCCATTACAAACACGTCGAAACACTCGTCCATGAAATGCTCCAAACTTTCTAAAGTTTCCGCTTCCAGTTTAGAATATCTACTGATATTTATGATCTTTCATTAAGTTTTTTGTTTGTTTTTATAAATACGGAGTTCTGTCTGGGAGAAAGATAAAAAAAAAGTTGCGCTTACCAGCACTTTGCCATACTTACGCAGACCTTCTCGCGAGAATTCAGCAGCAGCTCATCCCAGCAGGATGTTTCGTTTCTGTTAGCAGAACTAAGAAATTTGTGTAGCGGTTTACATGTTAGTGAAGCTAATATTTTGGTTATCTGTGCCCACCACTGGATACTCAGTTGAATGAGTTACAATTTACATTTTAAGTGAAAGGTTTGTCAGTTCCATGTTTAAGGAAGTTATACAAGTTGAAAGAAAGACTACATAATAAGAAGAATTAGAAAAAAATGCCTGAATAATTCAGTTGTATTAGTTTTTATGAAATTTGGTATAAACTATTAACAGTATTTTTCATGTTAACATGAATATGGTATTTTCATTAAGACCTGATTTGTAAAAGTAATAATAATAAAATTCACAATATATTTTTTAGTTTTATAATGTCACCTCCACCGGCCGTAAAGTTTTCCGAAAAGACCTCAAAAAGACCCATGGACCACTACACAGATAATCACAGTTGTAGCTTGTTTTGCCTGGATACTTTTTCTGCAAGTAGCAGAAATGGCTCTTTTGATCATAAAGGTTGCAGACCTCTGTTCTCAATGAAAGAAATGTGATTTTAAAGTAATTGTGTAACATTTAGGTTCTTACTCAAACTGAAGTACTTGTGCTTGGTTTGAGAAAAACAGTTATTGAGACAACGCTAGCATTTTTATTGTGGAGTTTGGTGTCCTGCATGTGTAGGATTTCTCCAGGTATTCTGGTTCTTTCTCACAAACCAAGAGTGAATTATTTGGTGACTTTAAACTCCGTAAATATTAGTGTGTGTGTGTGTGTGTGTGTGTGTGTGTGTGTGTGTGTGTGTGTGTGTGTGTGTGTGTGTGNGTGTGTGTGTGTGTGTGTGTGTGTGTGTGTGTGTGTGTGTGTGTGTAAATGATTGTCTGCTTTGTGTGTCTCTATGTGGCCCTATGATGGACTGGCGATTGTGAGCTTTATCTCTTATCCAGTGGCCACAGGAGATACGCACCAGCAAGGTGTTTCTGTCTAGAATTTGCATGTCCTCCCAGTGAATGCGTGGGTTTTCTCCAGGTGCTCCATTTTTCATCTACAGTCCAAAAAACATGCATGGTACAAGTTTCCAGAAAGCTGCTTCTGCTGCCATCTGCTAGGCTAGTATGCAAATGCTTTCACCTCACCGTCATATGCTATTTTGTTTATATCAAAAAATATAGAATTTATTGCATCTTAGGAAGAATCATAACTGAGCTCCAAGAAAAGATAGATCTTTAGAACAGACGTGTTTATATACACTTAAACAACCATGCGTAAAAATACATGTTCCCTTCCCTTTGTCCTGCATTTTCACAAAGCTGTTGGCTCAATTCTCCCTCTTCCTTTTTTTTTCAACTTTGCATGCTTTTCAGCAAACACCAAGTTTATTTTTAGTCAGCCAAACTTTCCTTGCGTCAAGGTTGCTAAGTAACGGGCACTTGAATGATGTGGGCCAAGCCAGGAGACATGTACGGCTGCGGTGCCAAGAGACACACAGACACAAACACTGTTAACATTCATATTGCTGCTTTTATTTTTGTAGTTGAACTTTCTCTAACGTGCATCCCCTTTCATATTCTCTTCTACCATGTACTCACTTTGCACATCTTTTATTTAACTGTTTCTGTAAAGGGTGTCTACTGCAGAGAGTGCAAGCAAGACTGGTTTCTGATTAATAAAATGTACTAATAAAGAGAAGTCAGTGTGTGCATCCAAAGAATGCTTTGAGAAGAAGCACATTCTATATATGCGTTATGCTTTTTCTCTATCTGCCTCTGAGCAAAGCAATTCACACATTAACAAGGATAATCCAAAAGGTAAAACTTAGCTCCTTCATGTCAATTCCATTGATTTTCTGATTTTCCACTCTATTTTTCAAGTTGCTCAAGCTCCCCAAGATCTTGAGAGCAACAAATCATATGAGCTACAGTATGATCTGTTGCACAATGAAGTCCAAGTATTTCATTTGGGTGACTCTTTTTCTAACTCTCTCCCTTTGCTCTTGTCTACCTCTGTGGTTATGACTCTCTTCTCCGTACCTCCTTTCCTGTATGCATCTCCCTCTCCTGCCCGGCTGTGTCTGACCACTTCCGTTAATAGGAAATGTCCAAGCGGGAGGACTTGCATGCCCAGCTGAGCCTAATTCAGCTGCCTGTAGACTCAGGGGTATGTACAGCACTGCTGCTCCTCCCTCCTTCTCTTTATGTAACTGACTAACCACCTTATCTCCACTTCCACTCTCCTCACAACATCAGCTATTATTCCTCACCTTATCCTCTCATCCTTCCCTACAAAGGCTTTGCAGCAATGCCGTAGACCTCTCATCAAACATTTGTTCATGATGGATGATGCATAACATTCTGGGGCCATTTTGCATAGTTAATTTGACAATCATATTTACTTGACAGTGATGTTGGTACTAACAGGCAGGTCAAAGCTAAGCTTTGCTACAAATGTCTTTGAGGGACATCTTGACTTGATTAATTTCTTCAGGTTTATAGTAAATTAGTTTTTTGTTTTCCTTTTCCAAAGTTTTTTGATCTTTACTTGTGCCAGTCCAATCTACTGTAATAGAGTACGGAATGGGAGCTTTTCCAAGGCCTGGATGGACGTTGCTTTCTCAAGTGTGTATAATTAGTCCAAAAGATGAACATTTGCCTAAATGAGCAAATACCTGGCTCTTTGATATGAGGACAAATATTCTGCAACTCTTTGGAAGTATTTTGACTAGATGCATTTTATTTAACTAGTTTAGCAATTGATGGCACAAACAGGCATAAGCAGTCTGACCAAAAATAATGATTATCAGAATTATCTGGTTTGGTTGATCATCACATGCACAGCTGTGGATACAGTTGGCTTAACAAAAGACTTGTAATTATCAAACAAAAACTTAATGTTCCTCTTACCAATCTCATTTTATAAAATCTTTGTTTTGCTTTTTTGCTGTTGCCAAGAGTGGTTATTTGAATATCTATACATTAACTGTGTATTAGCCATGGTACGCAATTAAACTGTCCATAGGTCAGTTTTAAAAGCCACAAGTAGGTCTTAATTTTTTTTATCCAAAGCCGAAGTTACATTTAAGGCCTAAATGTATATTCTATGTTGTGAACAAATGTGTAAATTAATGACAATGTATTTATATAAAATTTCCAAATTTTATAACCCAAATCAGGGTTGAAGTTTTCTTAACTTATAAATAGCCTATTGTTAACAAGGAAGAGCAGCAGGACAATCTGCAAGCATGTTGGTACAGATGTACATACAAACTAGAAAAAAAGTAATTTTATGCATAGAAAAAACATTTTTGCATTTATTTTTGTATGAATAATTTACTCCCTTTTATACAATTTTTCTTGTTGTTCCATTACTATTTTCTAGCATTGAATTTTAGTAATGAAGCTGTTTAGAAACATTGGAACATGTGTAATAACAGTGATATGGTAAGGTGTCTGCACATTACTAATCTGTAGCACTTTCATTAAAAACGCTTCATTGACAGCACCAGCATTTTAATTGTAATTAGAAGTTTACAAGTTTTTATACAGTCACCACGGCATGCATGTTGAGGTCAAGGCTTTTGAAAGATCATTTCAAAATWCAAAAATATTCAGAAACAGTTTATACTGTATCTGGATCATGGACCCCTTGGAAGACCCAATTAAGTTAAAATTTCAATTGTATAGCTTTAAATTTGTGAGAAGGCAAATGATTTGGAGGTAGTCCTCCTTCCTTATTCCATCCACTTTGTGCAATTAATCAGGAGTAAAGGGGGAAAATTAACACTGCACCATTCTGCCACCACAGTGCATGCTAGATGCTGTAGTATTCTTTGGTTTGAAAGCCGCACCTTGAGTTCTGAAACAATTTTTTCCCATTGCGGCATAATGCGCAATCTTTTGCTCGTTCAATAAATAAATAAATAAATAAATACATACATACATACATTACAATTCTCCAGAAGGCATTTAGTTTGTTCATGTGGGCAACTGCAAATTTTAGTCACACTTGAAGGTGCTGTTTTTGGAGCAGGAGRTTCTTTCCTGTTTGTCACCTTCTGAAACCATAGTGATGTAAAACTGTCTTCACTGGTGTTTCAGCAGGCATTAAAAACAGCTATTAAAAGATTTATGTGCATGCATGTTTGTTTTTGTTTGTTTGTTTTTATTTGTATTTTTGAGCCCATATGAATTTTTTGACACTGTGTAGATAAGAGAAAAATATGCAGGCAAGAAAATAAAAAAATTATTGAACTTGCGTAATCATCCAACCATTGGTATAGAGAAATGATCAGTTCAATCTACCYTTAAAAACTTCAATTTTTTTAAACATTAAAGTCCATGATGAGTGCATGTAAACCTAATGCAGCTGTAAATTAAATAAAAAACATGTTTTGTGTTTGTTTTTATTTTAAACTTATTTTTAAGACAGGATTTTATTAGTATAGTGACATTAGACTGAGACTTTTCCATATCATGTTAAAGTCCTACATGTTAACAAAGGTAAAAAGGGCTATTATGTGACTGCCAGAGGATGTATCACATTATCTGCAAGTCCTCTAACCTGCCTCCTTCATGGTTCACTTGCTGCTGAGACTAACTAAAGTATTGAGCACACGTGTGCATAGAAGAGATAACKGTCCTTGACACTTGCTGTGACTCACTTTGTCATCTTTTATAAGCAAAATTCATTTGTAACCTTAGAGTTTCTGGTCAGCCCTAAGCAGAGCTCCATCCATCATTTCATTCTTACCACCTTCTGCACTGGCACTGCCAAATATCACCCTCTTTTAYAATGGTTTTGTGTCTGGCTAAAAATAAAGTGAAAACGGAAAAAAAAGGACAAGTAAGTAGCCTAAAGGTTGTCTTTTTATGAAAATCAAGAAAGAAAATAGTTGGAAATCTTGTCCCTATATGTCCTATAATTGACACTGGTAATCTGTATATTGTAATGCACATGCTCCAGAGCTTTGAACTTCTATATGTTGGTTAAAAATATGGTTGCTCACTGAAGTTAGGCCAAAGCCTTTTGTAGATTCCGAGTGAAGCCTGATGGACTAATGTGAACATCAATTTTTTTATGAGAAGTTGAAGCTTTTGTTACCTCTTGGAATTTCTTTGTACCCTTGTTCACAAACATTGAGCAAACTTGTCATTTTAGATGGTAAATACATTGTTTATATAGTAAAACCCATTCCCAGAAAATGATGAAATAAAAACCTAAGGGTGTTACTTTATTATGACCCCTGCACGCAAAGCCTAAGCAGGAGTCATATTGTTTTCATACTGTTTATTTATCTAAGAACCCCGCACGCGAAGCGTAAGAGGGAGTCATATTGTTTTCGTACTGTTTATCATGACCCCCCCCCACACGCGAAGCGTAAGTGGGAGTCATATTGTTTTCGTACAGTTTATTTTTTATTTATTTATATTTTTTCAGTGATTTTTGGTTAACCGTAGCACAAAAATGGCTGCACCGATCAACATGAAATTTGGCAGGGCTGTAGATGAGTCTGCGCCAGGCCAGTTTTACGATAGACCCCGTATTTGAGGAGGGGGCTCCTTTCAAAGTGGGGGTGTCAGGACATGCAAWATCGCTTATAACTCAGAAACTGTTCAACATAGAAGCTTCAGATTTATTTTGTTGTTTAGCTCTGATGAAGCTCGATCCAACAGGCCCACCAATCAGTGCTCCCCCAGACCCCCAATTAATCTGAAAAAGCGGTATCTGGACATACAAAAATATTAAACATAGGAGCTTCAGATTTTTTTTGGTTGTTTAGCTCTGATGAAGCTCGATCCAACAGGCCCACCAATCAGTGCTCCCCCAGACCCCCAATTAATCTGAAAAAGCGGTATCTGGACATACAAAAATATTAAACATAGGAGCTTCAGATTTTTTTGGTTGTTTAGCTCTGATGAAGCTCTATCCATCAGGTCCACCCATCAGTGCCCCCTCCCTGGACCCCCAATTCATCTGAAAAGGGGGTATCTGGATATACTAAAATGGTTATAGCTCAAAAACTATTAAAACATAGGAAC